AGGAATGGAGGAGGGAGACCCAAAGCTCAAAACAATGGCAGCAGTGGCAAGTAAGCATGAAGTGAAGAAAGAGTTGAAGAGCAGAAATGAGCATCTGGAGACAGATGGAGAGTAGACAAAGGTGGAGAAGAAAGGAAGAAAGAAGGTGAGCAAAGGAAGAAAACAGGAGCAATGGTGGAGACACTAGCGATGAGAGTGACAATGCCAAAAGGAAGACGGGAGCAGAGGAGAGCGGGAGACAGTGGGAGCAGTAGGAGAAGGTACATCGCGCAAGAAGTAGATGTGGTGGGAGCAGCAGGCCAGCCCACTGGGAGTGGCACAGTGGGAAAGAGGCACTGAGAGATGCTAGGGAGAGCAGAGGCAACCGATACAGACAACTTTAACCAGTGACGGGAGGCAGACAGGATCAACAATGAACAGATATGGTTTCCTGGAAAAGTACTTTTTGAGATTTTGGAGGTGCAGGTGGAGCATCTCACAAGAATGATAGCAAATGTAAAGAAAGCATGTTTATTTGGCTATGTTCATAATTGACAATGTTCTTCTGACATCCAGCTGTGAGGTTAAATGCTAGTCATTATTGCAAATCAAGGAACCCCACTGGGAATAGTCATTAGGGGGAAAGTGAGCAAAATTGAAGGTAGAATCATAAACAACATGCTCCAGAGCCCTTAGTAATCTAGTAGAAGTTCAAGTCCATCTGTCCTTACATTATGCTGGGGAGGGCTTCATTTTATGGATCATAATATAAGATCAGTTGGTTTTCATTCTTGCTAACGAAAAATAAATAAATAAAAATCAGTGCTCGTGCTGAGATGGTTCTTTTATGGTGGCAGATTAAAGAATATGTGATGTTGTGCTGATCTTTTCCCTAGGTAAAGGAAATCTTGACAGCTCTGGGTTTGCTCTCATGTGCCAACACAAGAACTGGGAGTCTTTCTGGAGGCCAGAGGAAGCGTCTTGCCATTGCTTTGGAGCTGGTGAATAACCCCCCTGTTATGTTCTTTGATGAACCTACTAGGTAATTCAAGGCTAAAAACTAAAAAAAATAACTGCTCACAACTGTATATGCTGTAAAAATACCAACTTATGTTTTAGTCCCTCTTAGCATCTCAGAAGACAACCAAGACTTTCCTTTAAAGCACAAGTGCCAGAATTTTCATTGCAACAGGCTTTGTAAGCTTGTATTTTTTGCAAAGCTGGCATTTCTTAATGATTTTAAAGGCTCTGACTTACCACCGCTCTCCTCCAGTTTTACTCTGGTATAATACTGAAGATATCAATTGAGTTACCCTTGCATAATAACATTGTGGTACAATGTAGTGGTGAATAGGCCCAAGATACAACACGAGCAGCTTAGCTGATTAAATACTGTTGTAAAGGGGTTACAATGGTTTGTTTCAGAAGAAACAAAGTGGAAGAGGGAGATGGCAAGAAATCCCAGAGGACTGCCCAAAAGAGACGGAAAAAAATCTTCAGTTTATAACATAGTCCGTCTTTAAATGAAAGTAGTTTATTGACTTGAACATTTTTGAGAATTATGTTCTTTTAATGTAATATATTTAGGGCCACGTTCTGTCCTAAGTGTTTGTTCGGTGCCTGTAACCAACCTGAGCTCCATAGGGTCTACAAAAGTGAATTTGCATGCTATATTTGGGGACATCTTGATTTGGAAACCTCTGTCAGAGAATCTGGAAGTGTTCTGAAGTAGCCCTCAAAACAGCTCCCATGTTAATTAAATATAAGTAATGGAAAAAAAACAGGGGAAAAAAGAAATAAGAGTACGGGGCTAGTGTGTAGTGACATGTAGGATGATGCAGACGCAACCTGTAAAAAGATGACAATGTAAGATTGAAAACACAAGTCTAAGCACGTGTACATCTCTGAACTGTTGCATGTAGAACCACAAATCTAACAGGCTTTATTTATTTCTTTATTTATTTTTTGTTTATTTTCAGCGGCTTAGACAGTGCATCCTGTTTTCAGGTTGTCTCTCTGATGAAGGCTTTAGCCCAGGGTGGCAGGTCCATCATCTGCACTATCCATCAGCCGAGTGCAAAACTGTTTGAGCTATTTGATCAGGTACTATTCTGAAATTCTTATTTTTATATATTTATTGCAATATATGTATGTATGTATGTATGTATGTATGTATTGCTGCACACTCTAGACTGTACAAAAGCCATGGATTGTGTCCAAGCTCAATATCACTAGAATCAATAGGTCAGAACAAATCCAATTGTTCTTTGAATTTTTCACTCCTGAACTTGTTTCTAGATTTTGTTCTTGTTACTTGGTAAATTTTAGAAGTCATGGTCATCATGCAGCTAAATTCCAGGTCCTTTCCCATCCTTGTTTTGTGTGTAAAACTCCTGTTATAGTGTATCTGGTAGTTTACCATTAATGTCTGCATTGCTGCCAAGATAAAGGTGTGTACAGAAGTGCTCTGTGCATATTTTACAGTGCTGTCGTTTAGAGCACTCTTCATAACACTGTACATTTAGAGTGCTCTTAAACATGGCAGAAGTGCAGTGTTTGGTGTGGTGCGGTAGCCTCCCTGCACTTTCCAAGCTAGGAGACAGGGTGTGCTCTGCAGCCTCCTGGGGCTACAGGAGACTGCGGACAGAGACAGGCTAGTGGAGAAAGCTGAGCTGGGATGAAAGGCTGTCACTCAGCCTCTCATCTTACCCTCGCCTTCCCCACCCTTCTGCCTTCCCTGCCCTTCCTCCCCCCGCTAGGAGTAGGGGCATGACTTCTGCCAAAGCCCAGGCAGCAGCTCACACTCAGGTTGATAGCCTGGCTCCAAGCGTCTGGTCTCCAGCCCTGCAGAATCTTGGGGTGTCCCACCCACGGTGTGTCCAAGCATCTGGTCCCTCCAGCCATGAAGAGTCTCGAGGGGGGGTGTGTGTGTGTGTGTGTGTGTGTGTGTGTGATCCATAAAGAGTTTCAGGGTGTGTGTTTGTGTGATGCTTTCACCTGTGGCATGTTCCTTTCACACCCCACTGCCCCTCTTAGCTGGGAATGGGCAACATGTCTGCCACGAGGCCGGGTAGCAGCTCATAAAGTCCATGGGATACTGGAGGAAATGCCAGAAATTTGGCCAGAGTACAGTAGTTATTTAAAACACTGTAGGTTGCTAAAGTGCTGTAAAATTTAATACCTCATTTAACTAGGGTTAATTTAAAGCACTGTACCCATTTTTAAAATTCTGTAAAGCCATGCACTTCTGTTAAATCATGGCAATAAAGCACTTTAAATGGCAAAAAAGCAACTTCTGTACACACCCTAAATTCCTATCCTGGCTATGCCGCTAGAAATTAAGAAAATGCTCTCCAGAAAATAATAATAATAATAGAAATGGAGTCCATGAAAAATCTGTACTTAAACATACAAAGGGTGTGGCCAGTTCATGTTCAGGGTTCTTTACATTTATATTAATCTTGTTACGAGATTTAAATTAAAACTGTGAGAGCTTAGAGAAAGCTCATTCTCCTGCAGGTGAAGAAGCTCTTGCAGACTGCCAGTCTTGCAATGAGTTTGAGTACAGTCAAAAGAGAGTAAAAAGCCAAGAACAGTCGATCTTCTTCCTACTGCTCTGTGGCATCTCCCTTCTTGTTCTCCCAAATTCTCTCCCTGCATTCACTAGCCATGACTTCATACCAATAACATGCATCACTTATGGTGATAAGATGGTTGTTGTATAGTTTCCGACCTGCTATGTAATGGGTGAATGTATTTCTGTATGAGTACACAGCAAGCCCTGAAGAAGTAGTTTTACAGCATTTTGGATTTCAAATACCTCTAATTTTCCAGACATTTCCCATTAGTTAAGAGGTTCACATTCAAGGATGACAAATCTCTTCAATCATCTCTTGCTACTTTTCCCTAGTTCAAACAGCAGGTCATTGGATTTTACACTGAACTCAGGTTCAAATGCTCTACTGTTTTTTCACATTCTCATTCTTGTCATTTGTTTTTCAGCTGTATGTGTTGAGTCAAGGTCAATGCATTTATCGTGGGAAAGTGTTAAATCTAGTCCCTTACTTGAGAGATTTGGGTTTAAATTGTCCAACCTACCACAATCCAGCAGATTTTGGTAAGGAACAGCTGTTCAGTTTGCTTATTTTGCTTTAGAAATAGAAATAGAAATAACAATGGGTTTTAGTGTTTCTTGTTTTTATACTTTTGCTGTTTTACATTGTAGGTTGACTGTCCTATTTTTGCTGAGTAATTTGAATGCCATCTAGTGGTAGAACTGATTAGTGACTTTTTCCAATTAAAATGGTCAAATCAGAAGAGATGAAAGAGAGAACAAGTGTCACAGCTGTTGCCATTGGTTTTTAATGAAACTCTGTGTCTGTGCTCCTGGCCCTTGTGAAAACAATACGTCAGTATTTTATAGTGACATTAAGTGCTTCAAGACAACAGTAGGGACTGCAAGAAACATAAGTGTGTCCCTTATGAGTATCAAGGCAGACACATTCTCCATGTTTTCTCTAAAACGTTATATTTGACAATAGCTGGAGGACTATGTAAGACTTTTACGTAAAAATGTTGTGCACTTAGGGCCTGGTTCTGGCAACACTCCTATTGATTTCAGTGTTGTGGGGTTGGGGCCCCAATAGCCAAGCCTATCATTACTGTTTTTAATGTAAGATTAATATCTCTTTCAAATGTTTATGTAGTGATGGAGGTTGCATCTGGTGAATATGGTGACCAGAACAGTCGGCTTGTAAGAGCAGTGGGGGAGAGGATGTGTGACACTGACTACAAGAGAGACGTTGGTGGTGAAAATGAATTAAACCCCTTCTTATGGCACCGACCGTCTGAAGAGGTAAACCTTGCCTAAAAATTGAGCAGGGAAATTTGGGGTAGATAGGAAGAATCTAAATCTTAAGTAAATAGGGGAAGGTCTCTTCATCTTCTGCGTGGGGTTGGCGCTTGCTGATGAACAGTAAATAAGTTTTTTTTGTGAGAAGGCAATGTTATGCACCTATGGCACTAAAGGATCTCCAAAGCATAATCAACCCAGAGTTTAATGTGGAATATGCCTCACACAGTGATTGTCTGTGGGTAATGGCTGTTTTTCAGTCCAGATGTTGTATGACAATGACACACACGACTTCCTTCTTGCCCCCTTTTTATGCTTTTTCCTTTGATGACTCTTCATTTCCAGGTATTGTTAATTGATTTCCCTGTGATCACCATACTGTTCATGTTTTTATCCTGTCAGCATATTCCTTTGTTCCAACAAACTCATCATATGCACGCTTCTTAATTTGGTCTATTACTGGTGTCTTAGGGCATGCCCCGGACTCCTAATTTGGTCTGTCCATCAAAACCAGAAATTCCAAAAGCTCTACAATTGGGCACTGTCCAGTTGGTTCCCTCTTATCACCTTTCATAAACATATCCAATCATGTCATCCCTCTGATTTAGTCGGTTTGTGCCAAGTTATGTTAATTAGAGCTAATAACAAGGCCTACATTTCACATGCATATGTTGATAATGCTGGAACATAAGCTGCCTGTGAAAGTGAATTCAAGGCTAGCTGATAATGTAGACACAGGCAAAATGAAAAAAGAAAAGTTTAAATAATAATGAGGTATTACAAAAACTTAAGCAATAGTTAAATAAGGCTGAATATAAAAGAAAAGTTTAAATAATACTATAATTCAGCACTCAAGCAGGTGCAACTAAAGCTAAAGGTGACAAGCTACCCTAACAGCTAGTTTGTTCCTTTGTGTGTTCCTTCAGGATTCTTCATCCACAGAAGGCTGTCACAGCTTCTCAGCCAGCTGCCTCACCCAGTTCTGCATCTTGTTTAAAAGAACTTTCCTCAGTATCATGAGGGATTCGGTAAGGCTCCTACTAACATGCTTCTGTAGCCAAGGGCACTTTTCATCTCTGTGATGTGACAGAACATGTTTGAAAGCATTCAGAGGAAGCATGGTGCCTATTGCTACAGAACATGGATATTTTTATTCTTACTGTAATTATAGAGCTATAATTAGGAATAATTTCTTTTTGCTGGCACTCAGAACTGTCTGAAAAATCATACCCAACACCCCTAAGGCTTGAATCTCTGCTGACCTATATATTGTGGCATCACTTATTATAGTGCAAAATGTATGCAAAGTTGCATTAATGTAAGTGAATGAACAGATGTAACACTTGAAGTGCTTACAAGTGCAGCAGCATGCTTCAAAACAGCATTTCAGCCACAGACAGGTGTGCGGACCCCTCCTGCACCTCTCAGCTGGAACTCTTCAAAGCATTGCTACCTGTGTCTCTGCAGCCCTTAGTCTCCCAGGAATGAGGCCAAACACGTTGCCGTTCACTCTGCCTCTGCGCTCTTAGAGCAGCACCCTGATAGAACCAGGAGACCAGAAAAGGAGAGGTATGTGGGGATTGGGGTATGGATGGCATAAATCTCAGTTCCAGTGGGGAAGCATTGTATCCCATCTCCCAGTTCTGGGATCTTCTGTTTCTGGTAAGGCTCATAGGGGCTCCATTCTTCCAGTTCCAGTAGGGTGGATGCTCTGGGTGAGCAGAGGAAGAGTGAGCAGGAGTGTTCGTATTAACATAGTGTCTAACTCTCCCCACCTTCCTATCCCATGGTGAAGGTGAAGTTTAGCACAGAGCACTTGAGGTTGCTGGATGACTGAACCTTCCTATCATGCTCAGTAATGCATTCATAGACAGTGGGAAGCAATTCATTTTGAAGCACATCTGCATAGTAGTTGCTTTATACAGGGTTTTTGGAACTGTTGCACCATTTTTGGAGCACTTCTAGAGTTGTGTACATCTGTCTGCTCAGCCTTTGAAGAGATGTTTGTTCATACCCTAAACGCTTCTGTGAAGTGTAGCATCTGAACACTTGGGCTTATATTATTTGCCATGTCACAAAGAGAATATTGGGATAGATTTTCCACTTGTAGACATAACTGTCAAGATGTGCATATAATGGATCTTTTGGTTTGCTGCCCAAACCAGAAAACAAGGCAAAAATTTAGATTGACCTGAACTGTAATATTTTTTACTTGTGCTGTCCGAAGAAACAATAAAGTAAATAAAAATATTAAAATGTATTTCTAGCTTTTTCAGTTTTTAAAAATAAATTGAAATACATGCATTAATAAAACATTGATTTTGAAACAAAAACAAAATAATTTGACTTCTAAATTTTTTTTAACTTTGGTTTGGCCAACCAAAAAAAAAAAATTCAAGCAATTCATTACCTAAATTTCTGAAATGCTTTGTTTAACCCAAATCTGCATGCTTTGGCAAAAAACTGTTTTGATCAAAAAGTGTTGCTGAGCTCTACGTAACTAGCCAATTTTTGATGCAAGACCTCAGTTTGCTTCGTGTACATATTTGGGTACATGTGACCTGCACAGAAGTGGGAATCTTTGGAAGAGTTCTCAATAACTGAGACAATTTCTTCTGTTACTTTTGAGCAGCTGTTTTGGAGATGTTGATTACTCTTGGAAAAGTTGAAGGCTGTGCATGCGAGAGGCAGGACCACTTCCCCATTTCAGATTTCTGTCAGTGGCAGTCTCTCTCACCTGGGCTTCAAGAGGCCTTTGTTCCTCTTGCAGTTTACAGTAGCTTGTGGTATATGAGCATGGCTCAACTCTGCTCAGTTGCAGAGAGGCATCAATGCTAATTTTAGGAGGCTTATTTGGAGCAGATTTTAGCCTCACTGTCTTTTTAATACTTTGAAAGTCATTTGATTATTTATATGAAAAAACCCCAAAACTCATGTCATTTTGATGTGTCTCTTCATGGAATTGGGAATGGACACAGCATGTAATGATAACATAGATTTGGAAGGGACTTCTTGGATCATTGAGCCCAATCCTCAGGTATTGCAGGCAACAACATCATTTAATCCAGGGGCGGGCAATTATTTCAGGTGGAGGGCCACTTACTGAGTTTTGGCAAGCCATCGAGGGCTGCATGACAGGCAGCCAGGGACAGATAAATATTAATTTTCTAATTTTTGGGGGGGGCCCCACGGGCCAGATAAAATGGCCTGGTGGGCCGCATCCAGCCAACAGGCCGCATTTTGCCCACCCCTGATTTAATCCCTTTAAAAAATGACATTTTATTTAAGAATAGTAAGCTTTATTCTTTCTTTCTTTTCTTTCTTTTCTTTTCTTTTTTTGACTCTTTTAGAACCTCAATGGTTAATTAAAAACCTTTTTATATATCTCGGCTAGCTTATCCATTCATCCCTCTGCCTCCACCATTCTTCAGTTACAGTAAGGCTTCTCCTTCCTGGTGTTTAGCCTCTCTTGTATTTATAGAGTAATCATCATTTTAAGGGAAATTCAGTCATTGAGTTTGGTCTTCCTCTTACATGTTGCTGGTAATGCACAGAGACTACCACACAGAGGTCTTTAAATGATATCTTATTTATTATATAATAATCTCCTCATACATATATGACTTCCAAGTGTTCGTGCAGGGCATTTGGTGGCTTTTACTAACAGACTTTTCTTCTTGTGTAAACACAAAGGTTTAGATTATTCCAGGTTTTCTTCTTGCCTCAGTGCTGTGCGCCGTATCTTGTAGAAATATGGAATTGCAAAGAGAGTACCAACAGCTAATCAATATCGGAGTAATTGTGTAACATTTGTCTCGGCCTGAATTACCTTGACTCCTTCAAAGCCCTGGAGGGCAAAATGCTCTGTGTTCCATTTATCCCTGTGCCTGATTGACAGGATTAAATTAGTAAACCCGTTATCCTGGTATATCTGAAGCCCAACATGCTGGTAGGAAATTGCTATTTCCTTCCAGTGTATATTTAAGATTTTTTCAGACTGACTACATGACTTCACATTCAGAAAGCTATGTGCAAGACCCAAACATTCTGATCAGATCAACTGCTTTCCCTTGTTTTCTAGGTCCTGACACACTTACGGATCACATCACATATTGGAATTGGAATTCTCATAGGCTTGCTCTATTTAGGGATTGGAAATGAAGCCAAGAAAGTCCTGAGCAACTCTGGCTTCCTCTTTTTTTCCATGTTATTCCTTATGTTTGCTGCTCTCATGCCAACTGTCCTTACGTGTGAGTATTACCTGTGTTCAATTATCTGTAAGGAAGTTATTTTGACATGTTGGGATTTGCCAGTTCATGTAAAACTGTTTGAGTTTGTCTTAATTTTTAATTGAAGTGAGAGGCTAAATTTTGTATTCATTCAACTGTAACACTAATTGCTCTGGATGAACACAAACATAGTGACATTCATCCAGTCATATCTTCCTCAAAACAGCTCTGCCAGTGCTTCTCAGTGTTGACTTGTAACACTAGAGCTGTTCTAGTTCTGGGCTACACTTTACCATATGTAGAAGATGCTAATGATGTTGAATTATGTCCTGTCCATATTGATGGAGAGTAGAATGATGACTGAGCTCTTGAGCATTGGACTGATAGTAATGCTGTGATCAAAAAACATTCGAGAGACATTCAGATCTTGCTTGATCCCATTCTACAGAACTTTGGAAGTCCCATAGCTACTCTCTAACGCAGTCATTTTAAACTCCTTTGGTGATCAGATGGAATACCTCTGGCTTTAAACTTTTGACTTAGTTTTTCTTTAAGAAAGTCAGCACAAGGGCTAGTCATATGATCTGAGGAGCATACAAATATGTAGGCTGTGAGCTGCTCTCAAGACACATCTCCCATGCCTCAGCAGAGGTGATTCAGTGTATTGTTGATCCAACAACTGTTTTAGAGTTCCAGAAACACAGTGGGGCTGCAGAGTTGTATACAGGGAGGATATCATTATGTACAGAAATGTTGCAATCTTAACAGTATAAGTAATCAGTGTTTATTCCATGCAGTTCCTTTGGAGATGGGAGTATTTCTTAGGGAGCATCTGAACTACTGGTACAGTCTGAAGGCTTACTATCTAGCTAAAACCATGGCTGATGTCCCTTTTCAGGTAAGCTATTCAATATGCCACAGAGTTTTTTGTTTTTTTTTTTATTTGTCAGCAGTATAGACATTCATATTTCATAAGTACTGAAAAACAGCATGTGGTTTGTTTATGAGACCCAAGCTCAAGCCAGGATATTCCATTCTGAATAAATAGCAGGACCCCACTCAAATCATGACCTCATGTCTGACCTGCGCTTTCTTGAATAAATACATTAATATTCAAGGAATGTGAAAACTTTTCCCTTTTTGTGGGTGTGGATGGAGGGGTCTTGGAGGTTATAAAAGTCTGGAACTGGATTTAATAGATTTGATAAGATAGGGTGGATTTATTAACTCTCCTCTGAACACAAGCTCCATTGAATATTGTGTTTAAGGTTAAGAGATGTGGGTAGCTAGGATGTAAGATTTTCAAAGTGTTTATATTGGCCACAGCAAACATTTTGCATCCCTTTTGATTTAACTGTGTACTTTAGTAACCACAGTATCTTTTTTGCAGATTATGTTTCCTGTAGCTTACTGCAGCATTGTATACTGGATGACTTCACAGCCCTCCGATGCACTTCGATTTGTCCTGTTCTCAGCCCTGGGGACAATGACATCATTGGTGGCTCAGTCACTGGGTCTTCTAATTGGTGCAGCCTCCACATCACTTCAGGTACTGACATTTTAAGTTTCATGATCTCATGAGAACCCTGCTCTCCTGGGCATTGGCAAGTAACACCTTGTCACCATTGCTGTTACAGGTTCCCTAGCCAATTTTGTTCCGTTAATCTGAGAGAGACGCGCTGGCAGAGGGACAGAAGAAAAGAGGAGCTAATTCTTTGTGTTGGCTCCTTGACAACATTGTATATTAAAGAGACAGCTAAACAACCTGGCTTTCTTGTTTGTTTGGGGGTTTTTTTATTAACATGAGCTCATTTTTTCTGAGCCTCAGCACTGAGTGAGTTGCTGCTCATCTTGCTCTTGTGAATGCCAGTCATATGCCAGTCTCCTATACAAGGAATAGGACTAATGCCATTCTACAATACAATGAGAGATGGGATATGGAGACCTGCAGTTGTGCTCAGCAGTGGTTTTACCCATCCACAGCCACATAGAAGCTGGCAGCAAGCCACACAGGGCCAGGGTCAGACCCATAAATCAGACCATCTGCACTGGGGCTGGGGAGTGAAGCAGCCAGTGGCTTGACTACTACCTTAATGAAGCCCTAACTACAAAGTAGGCTTAAACCATATCCTGGAAAGAGGGGCTTCAGCTGTGGCTCTGGGTTTGGCCCAAGACAGAAGAGTTGTCTATAGGGAATGTCTGCTGAATTCAAGACCCCCTTTTCTCAGTCACTATGACAAAGGCAAAAGCAGGATGCACCTCATTTCCAGATGTAGCTTTTGGCTGTCTGTAAAGGCATCTCTGTTTCTCTTTTTTCCAGGTGGCAACATTTGTGGGTCCTGTCACAGCGATCCCTGTTCTTCTTTTCTCAGGATTCTTTGTCAGCTTTGATACCATCCCAGCCTACCTCCAATGGATGTCCTACATCTCTTATGTCAGGTACAGGAAGGAAAGGGGCCTAGTGACTTAGGATTTTTTCTGGATTCTAGTGCTCCATTACCCCATTTACAGTGCACATTTTTTAGGATGCACAGCAGTGCAGAATTAGGTACCCAAAAAGATATAGATATAAAAAGGTTTGGAAAGAAGAGAAATACCACATTTATTTCACATTAGAAAGCAATATAACACCATAATAAATATGAAAAGTTTTGACGTACATAATATATAATGGGCAAGAATCTGAGCTAATTTATGCCCTGTTCAGTTGTTTTAAATGCAATAGGATTGCACACTATGCGAGTCTGCTTAAAATTTGGACTGGCTGTTTTGACAAATGTTAAGGACAAAATGTCCATAGCGGTACTCTAATGAGGCTGCCAGCACTTCACTTTGAAGGCTGCTTAGCATTAAACTCCATATTTCCAAATAGATTCACTGGATAAAATCATGTTTGTCAGTTTACCCAATACTGATAGGTTTTCTCCAAAGTGAAAAGGTCAGGAGAGATGCATTGCAGAGGGAGCAAAGAGGGTTTAGGAAATGTCTACTTAAACACATTTTGTGTGTATCTTACCTAGCTGCCAAGTCAGTTTGATGTGAAGAGAATAGGAGCCTTGTACCTGAACTGTTTTGGTTTTTGTCTCAGATTATATCCCGATATCCTTTTAAAAAATATATTCTTTAATGGAGAGTTGACTTTGTGTTTCTTTTAATAATGATGCAATTCTACCGTCAATCACTATGTGAGTTGTCTGGATGTCACTGAGGATGTAATCCTTTGTATCTGAGGGTAGTATTTAACTCTTCAGTGTTTCTATAATGGAACTTTTAAAAGAAAATATGATTTTTATATATATAGCTTTACCTTGTAATCCATCCTTTCCTTTTCAGGTATGGTTTTGAGGGAGTCATTCTCTCCATCTATGGTTTGGATCGAGAAGATCTTCACTGCGACAAAGATGATACTTGTCATTTTCAAAAATCAGAGGCCATCTTGAAAGAACTGGATGTAGAGAATGCCAAACTTTACTTGGACTTCATCGTACTTGGAATTTTCTTCTTTTCTCTGCGCCTAATTGCCTATTTTGTTCTCAGATACAAAATCAGAGCAGAGAGGTAAAGGAAGAAAACAAAACAGAACAGTCCAGTAGGAAGAACATTAGACTTGCAGTAGAGGGCACTTGTCATTGTCTCAATGTGGCAGGCCAGTGTTCAGTGCCCAGTTACAGACACTGTTATGACCTAGCCCATAAAGAACCATACGAGGTTAGTGGATATATAGTGTTAAGCTAATCAGTCCAGCTGGGTTGGGTCATGTTTTCATTACACTTTCTAGCTTTAACTAGGAAGAAGAAATAGAAGGGAATTTTGCAATGTAGACTATCAACTCTGAGGCAGTGTAACGATAACAATAACTGGTTACAAGAACTTTCCTTTATGTAAACCTTCTTTGTGATAAGGTAAATTTAGTTCTGATAGCCGGAGTTGGTAAAATGACATCTTTACACAGCTGGGGAATATTGATTAATACTTAAACACAAAGTGGGGAATGCAAAGAGAGGAGGATTATGTCCTGGCCTTGAATTTAGAACTTCATCTTTGCAATTTTCTATCTATCACTTTTCTTTCCCACAAGAATTACCCTGGTAAGCCAAAATTCTGTAAATGTATTAGTTCACAAGAAAAGATATCTTTTTGATATGGATGGATAACAACATTTTTTTTTTTTAAAGATCATAGTAATAAGTCTCTTTATTTTTATTTGTGTCTAAATTTAGAATTCTGGTGCTTTATTTGATGAGCTGGTCTCAGATTAAAAAATTATAATAGGATTGGAAAATGAGAAATTCCAACTCAGCACTGTAAACCTGTTAATCATATTTGTGGGGGGAAAATAGAGCAGAGTCAGTCAGGAATGTTTAAAACTGTCCACAGATGATTAAACAATCAGCCTGTGTTTTCAATGTCTTTTAAACTCACTTTATTTGTGATATGGAAAATGCTAATTCTGTTCATTATCATATGAACTACCTCCTGGAATGCAAAACCAAGTCTCCAAGGCTATTTTCCCCAACAACGAGTGAAAGTTAAATCTATCCCCAATGCTTGTGAGAATGCTCAAGGACAATGGAAAAGTTGGCTTGAAAGTAAGAGCTATCATTTGTTCAGAGTTTGAAAGCTTAGCAGGTTATATTAGAACTCATGTGACAGTTTGCATGGAATTGTTTAAAATTTCTGCATTCATCATAAAATGAATTTACATATGAATAGGTGGAGGCAGTGTGATGTGACAAGAATAACACCGCCAACCAATTCTGTTTTTGTCCAAATCTACCTGGGGTTTAATAGCTAAGTGGTCTAAAGAGTAGGGATTTTTTTATACATGTTATACATTAATTTTGCTCAACTTGTAAGGGTGAAATCCTGATCATAGTAGAAATCAATAGGACTTTTGCCATTGATTGACTGAGAACAGGATTTCCCCTGAAAGAACAGACTGTGCCAGATCTGATTTCTTTCACGCTTGTAGGCAGCTGCATTAGCTCCACTGTCTCCCACAGCTGTGATCCAAGTGAGGAACCAAGTCTGGGGGTGCTTTACACAAGTAGATAACGCTTTACTGAGATCAAAGGTGTTTCAGTGTCAGGAGGCCATTCAGGTACTCAGTGACCAAAGCTAGTGTAATAGTTGCTGAGAGGCATTTTTTGTCTGTGAACCAGCAAGAGCCACAGTTCACAGACTATTTTTGGAGGCTCGAAGAAAATGTATATGTACTAAACCCAAATTGCTTTGAGTTATGCCTGAATTTTGTATTAATTAATTTATTCTTTTTTTAAGACTGAAGTAGTCACCTTTTCTTTGGGAAACTACCTGTACATTTCACAAAAGTCTGTGAAAACTTTGACCACCAGAATGAGTTATACTGAATCCCTCATCAGTCATTTCTATGCAAACAAATCGCTCCTCCTTTAGAGAACCCCGTTGGAGTCAATGGAGGTCTGAGAGGGCCCCACAACATGTGTGTACAGTCACTTGTAGGATTCGGGCCTGGATAGCAAAACATATATAGGAAATTTTGTGAATGTTGAGTACAGTCTGCAAATTATTTGCATGAGAAATTTACCCCCAGAGAGCATAGTTCAAACCATTCAGAATTAGGAGCAATTGTTAAAATATTGCAGGCAATATTCATAAACAGGCAAAGGGCTATATTTGGGAAAATATCCATATGTTGCAAACTGTTCAACACTAGCCTGAGTGAAAGGGCGTGGCATCTGTGGCATTAAATAGGTTTGTATTCAGGGTATAGATGGTGCTTCCATCAGCAGTTATTTACCAAATATATAATTGAAGCTAATTTATGATTTATCAGTTGTAAACTAGCATGAAAGGTAACATTATGAACTATATTCCTTTGACATTTTAACAGTATTAATGTATTCTAATAAAAGTGCATTCCATTTGTCCTGGGCAGTCCAGTGTAGGAATGTGAGAGCTCTGCAGTGCTACCTGCTTATCTGTGCCTATACATACTTTTAGCCTCTTTATTTGTCACATCCTCATGTATTTATTGTAACTTCATACTTTGTTAAAAAAGAGTGTGTTCTCCATTAGTGTTCTGAAGGAAATACCTACTCCAAAACAAGTTTTTCATTCCTTTTTTCATTAGGTTTTTTTCATTCCTTTCCCCCCAACTGTCTGTTGGGAAATAGTTTGCTAAAAGCCATTACTTTAAAGAATGGTTTTCTTACTATTGGATCCCAGTAAATAAATTTGTTCTACTAGCTAATGTTATACTTAAGATGCTCATTTCCCCTTAATTTTACAAATGAAGTCTCTCTCGCTCTCTTTTGAGCATTCATTTTGGTTAGATTAAGCTTGTCCCAACTATATTTTCATATAGTGTGTCAGTTTGCAAAGTCTCTATATATGTATAACTTCATTTTTTCTTCGGTATATAAATAACCTCCAGCAGTTTCATACTCACAAACAACTTTGGTTTAACAAATTGAGTATGCATATAAAAGATAATGCAGTAGCCAATATTGTCAAACTCCCAAGCTTTCATTATAAATAATGATGAGGCAAATTGGAGTTTAAACATGCAGGATCCTCAACTTCTGTACATTTATTATAAATCAACTGAAATCAATGAAAATGTGGCAAATTGCATCAGGTTAGGATTTCACCCCAAATAAAAAGAGAGGATGTCAATATTTGTTTTGAAATGTCTCTTGAAAAACTAATACATTATTCATGAATGGCAGATGGAAGATTTTACTATTATTTTGTGTTTGTTTTATCTAGGCCACAATTACACACATTTCTTATGTGTCATTTTATTTCTGGGTCATGTATGTATCAATGGAAATATTAAATACTTCAAATATTTTATTTTCATTGAAGTTTTACTGTAAACAAGGAAATCCTGAAAGCTTTTGGATTTTTTTAAAATAACTTTCGGATCTACTGTCATTAAAAAAAAATTGAGACATTTCATCTTCATAGAGAAGAGGAAGAGAGAAACAAACAAATATCTAACTGAGAATGTCTTCATTACTTTCTATATTGAATCCAAAGCTGATATTTTTCTAAAACTTGAGAGAGAAAAGATAACACAAGGTTTAGCAGGTTAGGAATAGCCTGCATACAAGATAGCAAACACTTCTCTGAGGTATTGCTTGTGTGGAAGCATGGTTTTACTGTTTTGCACCAATGTCTGTGTGACTGAACATTTTATTGACCATCTTTTTTTCACTCAAAAGTTGTGATGGTAATAGGCTGACCCATTCCATCTTGATGGTTCTCACAAAAAGCAAAATTGGCTCCTGTGCCTCCCCCTTGTTAAGTGAATCCCTTCTGTTATAATGAGGTTCTTGTGTAGACCTTATTCAGCAAAGTGCTTACTTACTTGTATGCATTGGAGTTGTCATTGGGACTACTCATATCTTAAGTTACCCGTAGTGTGAAGCACTTTGCCGGGTCAGGGCCATACTGCACAAGAAACTGGGACACGTCCTGACCTCGTTCGAAGGCTATAGTGAAAAATGTGATTTGTTTTCTCCTGTTCTGGGCCACTCTATAAAACTAGAAATAATGTTTTCAAGTGTTTATTGGAATGCAAAATATTCTACTTTTCGGGGGGGGAGGGGAACAGAAACCAACCACAAAAGAATGTATATTTTTCTGTGTTTACTGTTAAACAGTTGTTTCTGTTAACTGCATAATTTTGCTAAGCAAAAATGGACTTTGTATTTATATTTTCCTTCTCTGTATAACAAGTACAAATCCAAAACTTCTGTAGGGGGTGTTTGGGGTTTTTGTTCACAGCTCTGTGAACAAGTGCTAGTTATATTTAAAAGCATGTTTTTTAGCTATTTTCCTACTAGCATGTGCTCTATAAGCCTTATGTTCTGGAATCCTAGCAAATTGCAGGAGGGACAGTTCAGTCGCATTTGGCTTGGACTTCTTAACACAGGCCCACTGAAAATCCCTCCTCAAAAAAGGCAAATGACCATGTAGCCTAATGCACATGCCTCTTTCTCAGCCCACTGAATTCTCTTCTCCAACATCTCCATTTGCTCACCTATCTGAAATTCCAGACATATTCAGGGTGTCTGCAGAGCAATGCTGTGCTATGAAGAGGTACTCGGTGTAGCTCATGTACTGGAAGCAGTATAGGCAAGTTAGTATGACTCTCCACCAAGAATAATTAGCCCTGCTGAGAAACAGTATATATTAGCCTGGGTACAGTGTTATCCTAATGTGACTTCTGGTACCCTCAGAGTGTGTCTACATAAGACGCTTAATGGGCAGCAGACTGATTGACTCTGCATACACTGTCATGCAAAAACTGTGCTATCACGAAAAAAGCATGCAGTTGTACTAATGCACAGCTAGGCAGCCTATTGCACATTTAGTTAGTACTTTTGCAAGTACTAAATATAATAAATAGTAGGCACTGTGCATTAATGAACATGTAGACACACTCTCAATGGCTAAGTGAGGGAGAAGATCTTGTACATCTTCACTGGGCTATGCAGGAGGCTGCTTCCAGCGCTAGTTTTCTACAAGTGACTGGCTTGGTTGAAGTTAGACTTCTGATGCTTGTGTGATGTCTGGTTTAAAGCATATTGGTATCAATGGAAACCATGACTCCCAGTGACGTGTGGACGCTAAGTGATTCTCATCTAGATGTGCCCATAAGAATTAAGTTGTACATTTCTCATTAGATTTCTCAATCCTAAACATTTGCTATCCTGGTCTGGCTAGTAGGACCCTGCTTTAGTCTATTCTTAAATGTATCCATACTCAGGGGAGTATTTTAATACATGCATAAGTCTCACTGCCTTGAATAGGATTGAGACCCTGGCTTTCCTGAATGGAAACCTACATTTGGCCCAGACCAAGTCTTAAGAGTTGTCATGAGCATAGGAAAATGGGAGGCAGGTGGTGGAAGCGGTCATGCAGTGGAGCCGAGGGCAGAAGCTTATTTTCAATTAAATGAGAAGGAGCCTAGAGACCCAGTCACAAAGTATCAATGCTGCTGTTTGTACCAGCAGTTAGAAACCAGAGTTCTAGCTAGAGGAAATGTTTTCTAGGCTGCTTTCAACCACTGTCTGTGCTGACTTTTGCCAGTAGGATGCGAGTATCTTCGATTCCAAATTTAGCAGCAGCAAGGTCATTTCCTGCAGTATGCCAATAGTCTAACTCCATTCTTGTTCAGGCCTTTGTTTGAAAACCCATTTGTGATTTTTTTCTATCCCCCTTTGGTTCTGTTTATTTCTTGGTTAATGCTGGCAGCAACTAAACTGCTTTGGGGTTACATTCTGAGGTTTTGCATGAGATATTAAATGTTTCATTTGCTGTATCAGTCAATCATAGGAATCAATCTTGCCATCAGTGCTCATGCTTTTTGGCATCCCACACAGCTGGGACTCATTTTATTTCCACTCATGTTGTTGGGCTGTTTTTTAATTTGGCATTCTCTTTTAGTGTCTTTACTAATAACCTTGGCACAAGCCCCAGAGACATTAAGCCCTTAGCATTTTATATTGACCTTTTGCATTGATAAATCCTGACTCAATGCTCCCTATTACCCACTGGCAGCAGTGATTATAAAGATTGTAGATGAACTTTGGAGCCCTGCCAGATCAGCTGTTTGCTGAGCTCTGTGCATCAGCTCAGCTGGTGACTCTTACTTTTGTTTCCCACTTCTTCACATAAAACTATATTGCTGAATACCTATGAAAGTTTCTGTGGATGAGGGCAGGACAAAAAAAATCAATTAAAACTAGTTATGAGGTCTCAAAAGTACTTGAATACAAACTGATGGGAAGTCCAGTATGTAGCATCATTTTGCCAGTGAAGCCCTACCAATAAAAGCAACAGCATATGAAAAGGTGGGCAAGATTTCAGGAGGTCCATAAACCTCTGTATGCAGCAGAGGCTTGATCAAAGCCTCTTGAAACCAGTGGAAAGTTTACATGGTTTAGTTCCCACCCTAGCACTTCCCAGGGGTGTTAGAGCTTCCATACAGCCATCTGTTGTCTATTTTTGTAATATGCTTTTATGATCATACTTGACAAACTGCATAGTTGCCACTTTTGAGTCCAGTCCTGTTCTCAGTGGAGTTAATGGCAAAACTTTCAGTGCAACGTGAGAGCAACAGTTAGCCAGAATGATTTCTGTTGTCATAGCACATAAACCATACAAATAAAAAAAATGTGTAAAAGTGTGCATTGGATATGAAACTTTGCAAACCCAAGGGAAGTCAGTGCTAAGGCTGACATTCTTAAACAGGCCCGTAGGAATGGTGATTGTATCCTGTTTGACTGAGTATGTAAAATAACTCTTCTTTATTTACCCCCTTCCCCACCAAAGTAGGTGTGCAAAAGATCCAAACTTTTGCCTTAAATTTGCCTTTTACTATTCTTGCTACTTTTGTAACTACATGGTGGCACAGGTTTTTGTGGCTGTCAATTACTATTTCTTGCCCAGTAGAAGTTATTCAGCAGCAGGAAGGACACATGTCATCAGTGGTTAATTTTGGACTAGGGACAGATCTTCCATGCTCTTGATACAAAATGGGAGTTAAATGTATTACTTTTGATAAATGTCATGTGAAATCTAGACATGTTTAATGATTAAGGTTAATGGCACTGGCTGCTTCTGACTTCTAAAAGTAACTGTAGTTGGTAATTATGGGAGTACTGTGACCAGTAATTGCAGAAATATTATGAACTATCCACTGCCTTTTTCCTGTGATGAGACCTTGTGATGATATTACTGTACACAGCCATGTAAATATATGGACCTACCGACAAGAATTCCTTTTCAATTGCTCAGTCATTATGCCGACACAGTTGCCCATTGTGAAGTCCCATTCATAAAGCTTGATAATATTGAGGACAAAAGCCCCTGGCAACTAATTAGCAGGAAGACGGGGATGGCTCAGCATGTCATCTCTGTTGCTTTGCTCTTAGGATCGCTGGTTATGCAGTTGGCACTGGTATTGCCATACCCACAGAACAGGCTTTACTAACTTTGTAGAATGGCCATCAGCCACTTTTGTGTTGCTAAAGTTAAGTGGTTCATTGGCTTGGGGTGAGAGTACTCTGTATCTTTCATGATCAAAACCACACTGTCCTGCCCATAAATCCATTTTTGTATGTAGACTTCATACAAATCAGTTTAAATATTGTGTATTTATGTCACATTGTACTTTTTTCCTGTTCAGAAGTCACAGTTTGAACCATCAGCCATAACAACTTTGTTTTAATGTTATGCATCCAGTGGCATATTTTTTACTTCTATTTGTATGCATTTCATGGTGCTTGTATGCATCCTAATAATAGTATTTAAGAACATGAGCTCTAACTTTGGCTTTTGCTGTCAATACCATTTAGTGTATAGCCTTTAACATAGTTCTCATTTATGGGATCTTCCTGTAGTAGACCTTTTAGTTTCTTTCAAGAGACAATCATACTTTGTTTTAGAAGTGTGAAAAACAGCTGGGAATAATCCTTTGGGATGATATTCATGGTGGTACAGAGAGTCCATACTAATCCTGTGTACCATTTAAGTCTTTAAAATGGGGCTTAACTGGGATTTAATTGGTCCATGAGCCTCATGATACTGAACTGAATGTCACCCTTTGACTTCAACTTATCTTATGTCACTGTGTGTCGTGTTACACTCTAGAACAGTGGGGTCCAACCTTTTTGGCAGGTATACCACAAATTAGCCTTGAACCCTCCCCGAGTGCCACTTGATCCCCTTTCCCTGCCCAATCTATTGCTCTTCTTTCTGCTCCCTGCCCTTTTTTGCTGCTGTGCTTTCTGCC